TTTCTAACGCGCACGCCGCACTCCCTGTGAAAGGAGTCCGGTCCTGCCACCTACCATAGGTGTTCCCATCCTGCCCCCTTTTTCCTACCAAATTTGAGCGCTCTAGTTCCACGGGGACAGGAGTTTGAATTTTCGGTCAGACACGCACACCGACACACATGTAAACAAACAAATACACCGATACACCAACAGACACACTTAGCGAATTATATAAAGTAGGATATATTCAGGGTGACCCACATGAAGTGTGACGGGCAATAAAAAAATCAACTCATGGGCTTTTGGGCTGGAGGAAGCGGTGATCACTTGGGCGGAAAGGGACGCGATGGACGTCAGCTGAACCTTCCACAGGACTGGGCACCAGCCCACAGCGCAAAGAAGATGCTGGCCCTCGTAAATGCCATGTCCTTGCATTCTGCGTTGGTCTAATTCGCTCTCGGATTCGGTATAAGTGGGAATTCGTAAAATTTGTTCTACAAGGCGTGAACAAGATCGATACCAATTTCTAATTTGCGTTGACCTCTGGGTTTTTTGATTTTTCTCACGAGCCTAAATGTCCTGTGGGCCCTTCGTCTACTTTACTTTTCTTGGTGTATTTGGCCTTTTTCTCGTTTGCTCGAGAAACAGGAATTACGGATGTTTAAAATTGCCTTCATCTATATATTGTCCCAGATTTGGTATGTTCTTCTATGAACAACTCTTTGCTCTATGAGGTAGTTCCAAATATAGTCTTTGCGGTACAAAGGTCTGAAGGAATTCTCTCCGTGGCATTTTAACTCAGCATTAACACATGGTACATGTCTAACCTGTTGGAATGTAAGACAGTCATGAGCACCGGAGCTTCGAGTTTGCTAAGCAGATGTTGTTTGTTTTTAGAAAATTAATATTTTATTAGTGAGTTCGAGGCTGGTATTCGAGTGTAGGTCTGGTTTTGTTCAGATCCTCATGAAACCAGTGCCTACTTTTGTTTTCACTATGTGACTTGTTATCTTGCCCGACATTGTACAATCTTGGTTGTAGATTTTTGCAGATTTAATTGGTCATCGACCCGATGTTCTATGGAAAACTCCAGAGTCCCCAAGTCGAAAAGGAAGAGTACCTCTTCGTACTACTGCTTCTTGTGACTTAAATTCTTTCGACAATATTAAGACAAGCTGAGATGTTTGGCAGTCTTGCTCTCTCTGCTACTGATGCTGCTCCGTTGGTATCGGGTTTAATTGGCTCAGCTCGATTATTTCACTAGTAAGAATTTAGATAGTCCTTCCCACAAACGGATTATTTTAACCATCCTATCTTTGAAAACCTTCCGACCTTATATCTGATTGATTCTGCCTCTGTATATCGTTTCCAATGGCCATCTGTACGGTCATTATTGAAATAACAAAATTTCCTACTATGACCTTCCGCCTATTACTTATACCTATTTGCTTTTAAACGATTTGCCCTCCGTTGGCGGGTTGGTTAATATAATTCCTCCTCACTCCTATTTTCCTGGAATGAACCTAATTTCCTCGATTGCATTTTGAGCTTCACCTTCTAGAACTAGAACTAGAACCTTCACTTCAAATTTCTTTTCCTTAGTGTCAGAATCAGCGCTATTGTGTACAAGTGTTCCGGTGACTGCCCAGCATTCTTTGAACTTTTAAGCGCTAAGGTGCAATTTCGGTAGCGGCTTTTGCGGGCTTTATTGAGCGATAACTCCCTTGCGAGCTTTTTGCGCGATATTCCCCCTACCGTGGCGTTTGATGGATTCTGATGTCCTATAAAATTTTATTAGTGTTCCTTTACATGTAATTTTCTGATTTACACTCATGGATTCCAACTCTTCTACATCGCCTTTATATTGCAGGTTCTGGGTAGGGAATTGTTGGAAATGTAGCCTAGGTCAACGGGTATTCCTGGGTGCTCGAGTATTATTCGATATGTCCATTTCGATCAGTATGCCCTTCCTTTGAAACATATTCTCGCATGATTTGTATTATTCTCTTACCCTGTTGTAGCGTTTCTCCTGCTTTTCTCACAGGTTTCCTCATCTACAGTGGTGTTTCCAGCCTCAGATGTATAAGCTCCATAACGTGATGGCGGGCTTCATAAAAAAAAGGAGTGCCATTATGTTGGTTGAGTAAAAACTTTTGATAGACTTGTCATCCCTTTTTGATTCGTCCGCAAGACCACATGGAAGGATCTGTAGTGGATTATGGTAGACCGTTCCCGAATCTGCACTACAGAAGGATATATGTATAACCATGCTCGTGCAAGTGTTTCTCAATTATGACCTCGACTTTCAAGTATTAGCCGAAGCTATTTGAGAGGTATCGTCCATTAAAAATTCCTGTAACGACATAATCCATCGGTGGCTGCCGCAGGTATCTGTGGTGCACTCAGAAAAGGGATCGTAACTCAAGCTAAAGGTGCGTCGTAACGAACCGTCTTCAAGAGAGAAGTGGACCTCATCCGATTTTGCTGTGTTGTTGGTCGGGTTCTCAGGAAATGCTCTACGTTGAAGAACTCCCTGAGGGTTCCACCGTGGCTGCCGAAACGTTTCCCAGTTACAGAGTTCGGCCGACGTCATTCGAAGGAGGCGTCCGTAGCGAGGAAACGTTTGCCTTCTTTAAGACAGCGCTCGATCGATTCTGGTGCGAAACTGTCTGTCAGGATATTGCAGAACTCGGATGGGAGACGCTGCTCCATCTTCCTTTTTCATCAAGTCTTGCTCCGTCCAATTACCAATTTTTTCTCCCCCTGAAACATCACCTTTGCGATAGTGTTTGATGATCTCTTGGGACCCTAAACTGAGATTTCCAGCTTTTTCGAATTGCGGCCACTGAAGTTCTGGGCCTCGGGAATCAGAAAACTGCCGGATCATTAGACATATGTTGTGGACCACGTCGGAGACTATATCACTGATCGAGATCTTTTCTGATGAAAATAAGAGTTTTTGAAACAAAGGTGAAAAATCGATTAAGACGACAACCTCGAGGGCGCCTTCCCTAGACGGGGTTTATTAACGCTCAGATACCATAAATTATCCTTGATGTTTTTATAGAACCACAACCTGCCTCTCCTCCTTTCTACCTGTCAGGGGTACGTACAGTAGCGCTCAAAATTGTTCGGTGAAATGCATTGACGCTTTTTTGTTCATAACTTTTTTCTTAGTAGACTAAATCGCGCGAAACTTGGACATGTTTAACTGAAGCATATTTCACCCTACACAACACTTTTTGACTGCGAAGCTTCAATATCCACAGATAGAGCAAGGTGTTTGTTGCGGTAGCAGATTCTGCTAAAACTAAAGTTGTTGACGTTTGCACTTAATCGCACCTCATGTGGGTTTTTCTCATCCATTGTGTTCGGCATTACCGCTCGTACACTTTATACAGGACAAAAAGGAAAGAGATTCTAGAAGGACCATCATCTGTATTTTCAGTCGATTTTGAGTTCATGCTCTTTGGAATATCTGGAACACCATTAGATTGGAAGTTAATAGTGGTAAATATTCACAATACATCCACGCTCCAAATATAGAAATATCGCATGATTAGATCCAGTAGGAAAGGAGTTACGACTGAAAAGTACGGCTGAAGAGCCATTTCACCGACGACTTTTGAGCGCTACTGTATGTAGAATCGCGAGCACGCTTGCCCCCCNCCCCCCCCCCCCCCCCCCCCCACTCTCATCAGAGGTTTCCGATCGTTTCCCCCATGACAGAGCTTAGGCCAAAGGCGATAATCCATCCATAGCGTGGTTGGTACGCCCGTTTGGGGGCTGTTTTCATTAAGATGCAAAGGTTTCAGCAAACTACTGATTATGTTTGTGTTATGGTTACACACTTCTCGCTGTGGGTTGATCGACTCCTCGAGACCCCTTGTTACTCTCTATTCTCTACTACGAAATCTACTGAACGGACTACTTTGAGATCTGTTTCTTCGAGGCGTCTCACTCACATGAGTTGGCGGGGTGTCCGTAAGAAGCGTTTCCTAGCTCTACAAGTAGGGAATGGAGGTGAGTCATGAGTCCACTCAAGCAAATGGATTGTTTTGGAGAAACTGCTGCAAGGTGCCATGTTTGCCACATCTTGTCCTCCATGAAATAATCTCTAAATGAGTGTGGTAACCGAAATATTCCTTCTTGGACTGGTATCACCAATCACCTTCACTTTGATATTGGCTTTGCTTGTATGCATCTGTGTGCATATATGCAAAGCATGTGTGCGAACAATAAACTATATTCAAGGGAAACTCGTTTCAGGAAACAGCAGAGGATGACAAATCACTACGAACACAGTGCTCAGTTCATAATTACCAGTTCACATGGTTCGACTGCAATTTGTGTTTGTAATGTAATTTGTCATCCTCTGCTTGGGACAGTAATGAAATGATAATCAAAAGCGGTAATCATTACCTTGCAGCAAACTCATAGAGTTGGTTACTGATTGTAAACCTGGGTATATCATGGATCGTCTACGAAATCCCTGTGGTGACCGACTGAGAAAAATAGGTAATGTGAAGACTTGTCTACAAGTTGCTGCTGAAAAAGGCGTAGACATTGGAGGTAAGGAATTTCTACATGCCTTTTACGATCATCCATTTTGATTCACGTAATTCAAAAATTAATTTATTTTTTGACTTATCTATACACCTTTCAGGTATTAAAGCTGAGTCGGTTGTAGCGGGATCTAGAGAAACTATCCTTGAGATGTTGTGGAAACTCGTAGGGGTTTATGTGGTTGGTTAGATTCAGGTTCACCGATCCCTATTTGATTTCAAACGCTTTTCCTTGCAGAGTGTTGGTGACGAACGTAAGCTGAGACGAGCATTGCTAGTGCTTTCTCGCACTGGCAACGGCCTAAAAACAATGGACGGGGACTCTAGCGCAAATGTGCAAGGGGAACAATTGGTTCTTCTTTTGTGCCAACGAATTGGTTGCCTTTTGGGAGTGCAGGTACTTTACGTTCAATTCACTCGAAAGTGCAGCTTTGTCGTGAACATGAGCATCGCACTCCTTCTGACTTGGAACAGGTTTCGACTTTATTCGCGGTCAGTTTATTACTCTACATAAAATTGAAAATGTAATTGGCTGCTGAAGCCAATATCACATAGAACGCCGTTCGAAGCTTCGTTGTTTCATTTTGATACAGTAAGAACTGTGGTATGTGCAGAATTGTCTTTCGAGAATTAATGGTAATGTTATTTTGACTCTGTGAGTATGGTAAGTTAAAATCCGAACTACTGCAAACTTTATTGTCCTTCAAGGCATCCTTGCCTTAAATCTATGAACCGGAAGCCATCCGAGACGACCTCAATTGATTGATGTTGTCAAACGCTGATCTCAGATCTGCATTCCAAATCTCTGAAACGATTTAGTGGGCAAAGCTGCTTGACCGTTTTCCCCGATTGCGTTAGAATGCGATGGTACGGTGTTCTCAGTTCAAACGCTTCAAAATTGACTTGCCAACAACCGCTCCATCGACCTCGAGATCCAAATTTTGAATTGGAGTTCAACGCTCCTTTGGCTAAAGATAAGCAAGTAAGCCCGTTGTTGACAATACAAACCAGTACTGATTGATACTGATTTATCGGCGCCGATGTGAATATGGAAGTATTTTCACTCTAGCCTCTCAGACCTGTGAAGGTTCAATCGTCCTGTGATTGGAAGAAATCTAATTAAATCTACTCTGCAACTGAAAAGAGGCAGGTAAGGTTGACAAACGGAACAACTTACCAACAAACAGACCCATATATTCATTTATTTATCTATACAGTACCTTTCAGCGAAGCATGCTTTATCATTCATTCGAACGTAACTTCCGCAAATTTCAACCTTTCTGCGGGAAACTTAAGTAGTAGGTAACTTGAACAGTTAGCAACATTGTAGTAGTTGTGCTACTGCTGCACAACTATAATGTTGCTAACTGTTCAGGTATACCTGCTGCTTAAGTTGCTCTAGCAGCACACTTCCTACCAAAATTGGTGCTTTATTTTCGAATCGCCCCCACACTTTTTAAACTTTCGCCTTCGATAACTCGTGCCCTTTTATGTTAGAAATTACGACGTGGTTCTCGACCCTTTGTGACACGTCATGCACTTAGTACATAAATAAGGCTCTGTCAAGGTACTCTGAAATCTGTAGGTTACGGCAAAAACAAGTTGTTGTCGTCACCTGAAGCTTCCAGGATGCGTTAACATCTAGGCAAGCTTCCGGAATTCAAGGCTCACCAGTTAGAAGCGTACAAACGATTTGAAAGAAACCGGAGGTTATAAGGTCAGTCGAAGTCAAAAGTCACCCAGAAGCAGCGAGAGTGACGCTTCGTCTTGTTGACAGAGACGTTGCGCAGCGTGTAAGGAATGGCTCGCATCGAGATTCTTCGCGGAATCTCGACGCCCGAGGTATCAACCCGTCCGTAAACGCTGTCCGACGTGTTTTGAAAGAGACCGCTGTGTTCGGACGTCGTCAAGTGAAGAAACCGCTCATTTCCGCCAAAAATCTCAATGCGCTTCTCAATTGAACTCATGCACACAAGAACTGGGAAATCTAGCAAAGGCATGAAGGCATCTAAAGTGACGTATCAAAGTTTTTGCTGTTGGGAAGGGATGAATATAAGTTTGTATGGCAGATACCATGTATGTTACCCTCTGTTATACGTGAAATATGGCGGGGGTATGGTGATGGTTCACGGCAGCTTCTGTGGCGAAGGTATTGGCCCCCTCTTCCGGTATCAAGGGTAAAATGGATATCAAGATGTGCACCAACATTGTGGATGTTTTATCTGGCCGTTTGTACGCAGTTTGCGCCCGGTGTCTTAATTTTCCGGCAGGACCATGACCCGAAACACAACCTAAGCTGCTCAAGAACTGATCGCGTTCCTCTGCTACCGTAGACGTCGCGATCCTCTAGTCTGAATCCTGTTGAACACCTGCAGGATTGGCTCGAGCGACGCGTCAAATTTATCTGGGCTTTCTACGAGCAAGACAAGCTTCTCAAGTGAAGACCGCATAGGAGAACATCTCTCAGGAAATATCGATAAGCTAACCGAGTCCAGGCTAATCCGATTTGGATTCCTTCGCTCATACGCAGGCCTCTAGATGTTATATGACTTTATCAACAGTTCGCCCCACTTAGTCGAGGTCGATATCGTTCCTTGCCTTCCAAAGCGCCAACTTCAGAGCGACCGATAAGCGGCAGGAGCGACCTGTGATTTTGCTCTTCAAACACCAACACGCAGAGAAGTCCATTGGATTGAAGTCCGGTGAAGAGGAAGATCAGATATTTTTGCGCCAGTGCTCGAGGACGTGCGCGTCCAGTGCGGCTTTCGCCGACTTTGAGGCAAGCGAAACGGCTCAGACTCGCTAGAGGACAAACGATCGGTTACCAAAATGTCCTGTGACCCAGGGTGAAGGTTGTTCATAAAAACTATCTTTTGATAGACCTCGGGATTGATTTTCGCATTTTCGTCGATGAAGGCCAGTGAGGTTTTGCCTTATGATGTCACCCCGGCCCTAACCATCACACCTTTGAAAGATTGTCTGCAAAGCACAAGACAACGTTTTGGGGAAATGCTGCTGCCAAATTTTGACAACAACTGCCTCTGGTTTTGACTGGCTTAGACAATGTTTTCGTGAAGATTTTCTCAACAGTCACATTACATCAGTTACATCAAACATGTGGCGCGCTCTGCGCCCGCGAGGAATTTTTTTTGCATTTTATCTGCCGACATTGTTTGGACTGTTCCGAAAAAACCTGGCTTCGATGAAGCCGATAATTGCTCAGTTTGAGGTTAAATTTCATGATTTTCTGGACGGTCTGACGCATGATGTTGAGGTAAGAAGCAACCCCATTTTTGCTGACTCCACCGTTCTCGTCGTGGGTGTTCTCTTCTTCATGATGCCATGAGCATTGGTGTGTCCACTTTTCTCGGTCATCTTTTTTGGCATCTCACAGGGTTGTCCTCGAGTCCAGAGAGCAGCAGCAGCAGAGGCATCTTGAACCGTTGAAAAGGAAACGTCAGAGAGTCGCTTCGCTATGTCTTAACTTGTGAAACCTTTTTTTGAGCAACTTCGCGATGGTGAGTCGATGCGAAGAATTTTTCATAGCGAGTGTTAAGGCGGGCGATCGATCAAATGACTTATAAGGCTTGCGGGGTGTGAACGATGGTCTGGCCGGTGGAAGGGCCTACCTCCGCTCACAAGGAGTAGAAGGTTGAGCAGGGAGATTGGAACACTGATGATAGGGGGTAGGGCTGAACTCCGCGCATAGGAGGCGTGAGCGACAATTATTAATGTGGAGCTGGAGCGTTCGGAGTCAGTAGGAGTACACGCGGCCGGATGCGAACATTAATGATAGTGACAGGCCTGACTCCGCGGCCTGTCACTATCATTAATATTCGCATCCGGCCGCGTGTACTCCTACCTACTCCCGTTTATTCTGTGTAAAATGAGCGCAGTTAGAGTGAAATACATAATCAAGTTGGACTTACTAAATGGTGAATGAACCGTGTTGCTTAAATACACAGGTTCACACAAGTCTGAAGGAGAACTCAGGCTCAGGGCCGCCTAGACGCGCACGAGGTGTGCAGTGTTTTCGTGCGTGTTCGGCCAGATATACATATTTTTCTGAACCATAGCGTTCAAATTTCGCAGAAAAGTAGGTGGCAGGTCAATTCTAACACGAAAAGGAGGGGAGCCCTGCGTTTGGCAGATCCAACCGGTTTGATAATAAGAAGTTGCACATCCCCCACGATTAAACTCTGAACACGTCTCGACTTTCAAATGTTCAATCAGAATTCTTGTTTCACATTAATTGTAGCACAATATTTATTTAGCCACCAGAACTTAACACTTCGACAAGTATGGGAATGAAAGTTCACCGCAAAATGTACTCGATCAGTAATGTTGCACTCACTCGTCGACAAAATTGATATTTACATTCGCAGCATCTTCTACTGTATCCGATGGTCCGAACGGAAGGGGACTTGTTCAGTTATGGCTAGCCAATCTGCCGGTTTAATCAAGAAAGGGAAAGTGAATGATTGTTGTTCGTGAAATATTAAAGCAACAGAAAGTGGCTATCCTAGTTACTATACATGATGTGAACCTGGTTGCCGTGATTTTAATCCAATCGTTCTGACCTGAATAATCGATTTTCCATGGATTATTCAAGACTGTTCGTGTGTACCATTTATTATCTTCACCAGTCAGGCTACGCACGCTAATGCCTGCACCACGTGCTCACTACCGCTTACCTACGACTTATTGGAGGACCAATATGAACAGTATCGATTGACTTTCCATTTCCTGTTTCCTCACCGCGCTCACGAGACATTCACACTCTCCTCGTGTCTCCGTGACTTTCGGAAGGACGCCCAAACCGACATACAGACACAAAGTTACCGCTTCATATATAGAAAGATAAAATTTGAACTCGACAGCATTTCATTTGAAGTCGCTGAGTAGGTATGTAATCTGTCGGAGTAATTTTCTGATCGTAGTAATTTCGCAATCTTGATGCACATGATGCACGCGCAGCATCATATGCACCAAGGAATTGCGCGAGGAAATCAGCTCAACCTTGACGAGAGCGCGCCTGTTGCTTATCTGGCGCGCGTGACAGATGCATTTCGAAGCTTTTCGCTTCTGCGGCTCACCATTGAGCCGCGCTGTCCCAAGATTGTTACGTTTTTCTACTATGAACTACTTCTGCTTCTTCCAAGTTTTTTTTTTCATGTTTTCGTTCGAAATAGGTGTGAACTAGAGAATTATGAGCCTCCAGCTGTAATTAATCCTGGTTTTATGCATGACACAGCTTTGGGAGTCAAATTGATCAGCCTGCAGTGCACGATTTGAAGAGTGGTTTCGAAGACTATGGGTCGGATTCGGCGAAGATCGAGCGGGGCTTATAAAGAATTATTCGTTCCGCAGTTATACTCTTTGTATACTCTCGATTAATAGATTTGATTCGGAAAGTAACGAGACATTATCAAGATCAGGCAATGGAAGTGAAATGAAGGCCCAGTATTCTCTCAACATACCACTTACTAAAACATAGCAAAAACTTGTCTGGCACTCGGAGTGGCCAAAAAGGATACTAATAAAAGTTGAGGATAGGAAGTTAAAAAGAGTGCAAGTCCCGAATAATTTCTTATGAATACCTTACTCACAGTAACAGTAGTACAAGACGAGTGAGTACTAGGGGCAGTAGAAGAAAAGTCATCCTTGCACTGATTGTTTTCGAGAAAAGCACAAAAAGTGTGATTTTCAGGGAGAGGAAAGAATTTTTTAGTAGTTTTCAGAAATTAAAAATGTTTCTCTCAGCTCACTTTGTGTATAGTATTATTAGGTTACTGAGAACCCATTGAGTATAAAAAACTCCAAGAAAAACAACTACTCAAGAAAAGCAGCCAATGAGAAGAGTGCGGCTCAACGTTGAGCAGCGCTGTCGTCAAAGGGTCGAATATGCTCGAGATTAGCTATGCCAGTCAAATAATATATCTTTCCATCTCCTCAATGAGCACGTTTAGGTGGAACAACTGGACGACCTTCGTGATGGTCGTGTTCTCTCTGGTGCTTGGCGCATCTTCAATGTTCATGCCCCCGATATTCGTCTCTATCCTGGCGAATCACTTTTTTTAAAATGTGTAAATGCTGTGAGTTCGTGTCTGTCATCTACTGTCATACACCGAACAGCTTTTCGAATCAGATCACAGTTCCCAGGAACAACGAATTGTCTTGTACATATTACACACTACATAAACAATAACCCAATTGAACTTTTTTGACTTCCTGCTGTTTCAACTACTAAAGCTTGACAGCTGTGTGCTTAGTTCTAGAATACATGTTGTACTGATGTACTGATTGCAGGCTGCTTCTGAGCTTGATGTTCCATGGGGCTTGCACAAGTCGATTGGCTTATTTACGGTCCACTACCTTTCGAGCCTTTTCTCCATCCGTGAAATTCACGATGCTGCCATTTGTATTCAGAGAGCCTACAGGTCCCACAAATTCTTCAGTACACTCACGGTAAATGTTCACCATTTGCTTTATTGTTGAGCTCCAGCACGATCAAGATCGATCTGGTCTCCACCAACTTTAGAAACTTTTGCAACAGACGAGGGATGGTACTCGCACTTCTGAAGTGGGTAATCGGTCGTCACTCATGAAAACATACGTATTGGCTCCTAATGCAGGTGATAAAGCGGAAACGACTAAGTTAAATCTCAGCGGAGAGGATGCAATACGCGCAGTACTTGGGTTAGTTCAAGAATTATTGCAACTTGGAGGGTAGCTGAAGTTAAAATGTTACAGAGAAGTGCGAGAAAAGATCGAGTTGGGTAAACAGTTGACAAGTCTGCAAAAGGAAGAGCATGCCAAGGAAGTGATATTTGCTGATTCCGCTATCAAGATACAAGTGAGCGAGAAGCGATTTTTTATCAGAATATTTTATTTCAGAATGTTTTTTTTAATTGATTTTTATGAATCATGGTGTAATGCAACGGGGAACACTCCGTCGCGTCCCCCTTCTGCTTGAAGATTGGAACGATAGTGCTCCTCCTCAACGCATCTGGGATTCTTCCTTTAGCGGTGCCGTTGTTCAGGAATCGGGTGAGCTACTTTATCCCGTGCTCCTTTCCATACCTCGATCGCTACTCCATTCGGACCAATTGCCCTCCCAACCTTAACCTTTCCCATTGCTCTACGCACCTCATTCTCCATCCAGAGATTAATGGGGCCAGCCGTTGCCCCCAATTCTGAGCTGTTCTTACGAGCGAATTCTTCTTTGAAGAGCCCGTCGAAAATTTTCTCCCACCTACGCCTGACCTCGCTAGGCTTCTTCAGGATTGCACCATAGCTGTTCCTGAGACTTCACTACCCCAATGTCGTGAGTGGCGCGGTGACGCGCTTTCGCCAGGCGGAAGACAATCTTTTCTCCTTCTCGATTATCGATTTCTCATACAGGGCGTCCATTTCCTTGTTGTTCGCCTTCGTGACAGCAGCCTTGGCGAGCCTCTTGGAAGTTCTGTAGGCAGCTAGGTCCTCTGGAGCTCGTGTCCTTTGCCAGCGCTTGTAAGCCGATTTCTTCTGCCTCACATTTCGTTGGACTTCATCGTTCCAGAACCATGCTTCCTTGTCCCCTCGAGAACACCTCGAGTTTCCCCCAGCGTTTCCTTTGCACATCGCAGGATGACCTTCACAGCGTTGCTCCAGTCTGCTGGATCGGCCCTTCGGGATTTGGAAAACCAGCTTTTAGTACCTCCTCTTTGAGATGTTCTCTTTCTAGTCGGTGCAGCCTCCACCACCGAATCCTCCGTTCCGTTCTTGCCCTCGATTTCTCAGGAAGATTGATGGTTATGTCTGCTAGAAGAGGTCTGTGCTGTGGAGCCACGTCTTCTCCGGGCAGTATCTCGATGTCCTTAACAGTTTTGAGAGACGATCTCCTTACTAGCACATTATCTATTTGCGTTTCCTTCCATCCAGTGCTGTGGGTTACCGTCTGAGACTTCCTTTTCGCGGAGAAGGTGCTGCAGACTGCCCAGTCGTGGGCTATGACCAAGGCAAGGACCTTCCTCCAAATTCGTTTCTGATTCCCGCTCCTCTGTAACTGTATGAGAAGGTTCGGAAGGCAATTGGTCCGGATGGAGCACCGATCTAGGCGTGGCTCGGAGAGCACAAGATAAAGTGGCTCACCCGATTCGTGGACACTGTCACCGCTAAAGGAAGAATCCTTGATGCGTGGAGGAGAAACACTATCGTTCCAATCTTCAAGCAGAGGGGGACGCGATGGAGCGTCCAACTATCTGGGGATCAGAATGACTGCTCACAGGATGGAACAGTACGGGCGGCTGGTCAACTTGAGCAGTCGGCTTCATGCCTGAAAGGTCTACAACGGGCGCCATAGCTAGACAAGTTATGGAGAAGTCTCGAGAGAAGCGTAGACCCTGCTATGGAGGAGGCTTTCGACCGTCTCCCGCGCTCTGGAGAGCGCTCCGGAAACGAAAGGCTCCAGAATACCTGATCTCTTTGGTGAGGAAGATGTACGATGGTACCACCACAACAATACGCACCCCACACGGCCATACCGGAGCAATAGATGTCACTGTTGGGGTACACCACGGATCAGCTCTGAGCTCGTTCCTCTTCCTGCTCGCGATGGACGTCATCACAGAACAACTCAGATGGCCCCTGAAGACTATGCTCTACGCTGAGACATCGCTCTGATAGCGGAGAGCAAGGAGTAACTCCAGGACAAACTCCAGAATTGGCAGAGGGTTTTGGCGGAGAATGGACTCCGGCTGAACGTGGAGAAGACCAAGTCCGTCAGCTCCGAAGAGGGCACGGAGTCAATCGTCGACGGTCGCGGAGAAGCCAAAGGTCTAGGACTTCCGCTACCTGTTGAGTGATCTAGCCGCTGATCGTAGCGTGGACCAGGCCGTAAAATCCCGAATAAATGCGGCATGGATGTGGTCGCGGGGGTCCACCGGTATCCTCTGCGACCGTCGGTGCTCCTGGACCCTCAAAGGAAAGGTGTATTGAACAGTGGTAAGGCCCACGATGCTCGACGGCAGCGAGTGTTGGCCCATGAGTAAATCCCATGGACAGCTCCACACCGCTGAAATGAGAATGCTCATTGTCAGGTGGGTCTGCGGCTAGACGCGGCTGGATCGGGTCAGAAATNAAGACGTCAGGACGGCTATGCAAACAGCCCCAGTTCAACTGAAGATGCAAGAGCAGCGCCTGTGATGTTTTGGGCATGTACTAAGAAGACCACAGCCATCCGATAAAGGAAGCAATGGAGTTCGAGACTCAAAGTAAGCGACCACGAGGAGCCCCAAAGAAGAGCTGGCGGGACATGATTAAGAAGGACCTCGCCGAAGCCAAGATGCTGTAGATAGAATGAAATGGAGACGACTGATAAGAACAGCGGACCCTGCGACGGCGCGGGATTAACGCTGGGGAGAAGAAGAAGAAAAAGTAGAGTTTCGGCATTCTTGTAAGTGATGTGGGATATGACGGAATCGTAAGGTATACGATATTTACGATGCTGCTTTGACTGTTCAGTATATTTCAGTCGATAAGACAGAATGGTGGAGTAGGGTGGCAAAAGTGAGTGATAGGTGCAGTTATAGGGACCCTTTAGCGGCACTACAATAAGCAGATAAAAACTTGATTCATTTCATGCTTTAAGATTACGACCGCTACCCAGCAAGGTTTGTGGCTCAATGAAGAGTCGTCTTTGTTCGATATCATTTGCAAGAAAACTTAACTTGCCGCCAGTTATCTCTGTAAAGAAAAAGGTCCATTGATAACATCTGATATTAGTGTTCTCATCGCTCGAAACATTTGTCAGTAGTCCCCAACGCTTTGCTTCCCTAACAGTTGAGTCTTTGATGGGTTTTTAATTCTAAGAGAAAGAGCAAATGAACAAGACTCCCAGTTGAAGGCGTAAGCGCCAACTTACACTGAATACCATTTGCATTGCTCTGTTAGTCCTGTTTAAACTTGTGTACAGGAAAAATCGGTTTCTTTCATATCTGAACAAGAATGTTGAATTCGATGTCAGTCTGCAGGTCAATTGATTTGAAATTTCTAATTTTTCAACAGAACTTTTTAAGCGAGCCTTCCGTCGCCATCTATATCGTAAGCAAGGACAAGCCGAACGACAAAGGAGATTGACTGAGCTCTTAAGCGCTGTTACGGTGATACAGGTTGGAATTATTCCTTTGGTATTTCCAGCAAAATTGAATCCCATATCTTAAACACTTGCTTTCAAATTTCCAATATTTAAACTAACATTTTTTGAGCGAGCATTCCGTCGACATCGGTCGCGGGTGCAGGGACGAGCCGAACGTCAGCGGAGATTACTCGAGATCACACGTGCTGCTACTGTAATTCAGGTTGAAGTTTTTCGAGCTCTCGCAGGAGATTCGAGTTCCATCCTTCGCGCACTTGCTTAAAAGTTTCTTATAATTGAACGAACCTCTCTTTCAAGCGAGCGTTCCGTCGACGTCAGTTCCGTGTGCAAGGGCGAGCCGAGCGTCAAACGAGATTG